CCATCCCCGCGCGGAGAGTGCCCCAACAAGAAGCTCCGCAAACCCTACACGATTACCAAGTCCAGGGAGAGCTGGACCGAGCAGGAGCACGACAAGTTTCTAGAAGCTCTCCAATTGTGAGTCCTTTTTTTATTTTACTTTTCATGGAATTCAAATTCCTGTATTGGAGAATTGGTGACTGTTTTTAATGGTTTTGGGGATTCCCTAATTCTTGAGTTTTCTAGATAATTCGTTAATCGTTAGTTAGGGTTTTTTTTAATTAGTCAAGTGACTAGTAAGGAGTAGGTGACTGTAGTGTGAAAGCTTTGGGATTTTGTTTTATATTCGTTTTTTTAATTGTGGATCTCGAAATTATTTACTTTTTTTGGTTTAATACATCAGTAGGTGTGTGAACTTTTTCGAAATTAGCTAAAAGCTTGTAATCAGGTCCCCGATCTTCTTCCATTTTTTGTAATTGGGTCCTGGATGGATAGTTAGCTTATGTTAGCTTAAAACTGCTATAACAAAATAATAATTTGCAGTGGTTTTTACTTTTTACCAATTCCCAGACCCAATTACAAAATTGTAGAAGATTAAGGACTTAATTACAATTTTTTAGTTTAGGCCAGGGCCTAATTAAAAATTTATAAAATGTTCAGGACCTACTACTGATATTATTTTTTTTTAATATGATTTTGATATAGTTTGGTTGGTGTTATTTTATTGATGTGCTTTGGGTTTTAGTTTTGAGCAAGATGAAGGTTAGGTTAGCAAAAGGGACATATTTTAGAATGGGAGAATTGAATTTCTTTATGTGGTCTTTGTTTAATAGTTATAAGATTAATTTCATTACTTAAGTTCAATTCTGCTAGGGTGAGAAAAAATTAATGATTTGAACGTAGGGTGGCTAAGCATTACAGTGAGAAGCAATTCAATTCCCACCACTTTATGACATTTAGTATTTGGTCATGTTGCAAACACAATTTTACACAACTAAATGAAATTCTGAAAGAGCAGCATCCATATATATCAGAGAACAAAGTGGTCTGTTTTAAGCTAGTGCTTTTATTATTTCAAGGATTTGTGGTTTATTTACAACATGCTCTGTAGTGTTTAGACTTTTCACCATTAGGTTGCCCCCTCCTTTCTATCCAGGAACGAGTGGCAGTGTGCAGATTTGTTTTTTAGAGGGAAGATAGATTGTTAAAATAGTTTGTTGGTGCTTGATGCATTAAACGGAGTTCTTGTGAATAAATTATCTTATGGTTCCTAAACTTTTTGTTTCACCTTTCTTTAATTATCTACTGTTCAAGAGCCTCATCACATTTACATGCACATTATTTGTTTTATAGATTACAAATTCTTTTGAAATTTATGAATTGAAAGAATTAGGGTTTAGAAACTCCGTAGCTCATATAGAGAGAAGCATCAAAAAAAGATCATAAAGTCATATGGTTGGTATTTTGCAATTTGCAACTATGCATTGTGCTCACTAAGAAAAGCAACACCATGCTTTTTGGATAACATCATCTATGCACCCAAAAACAGCTTTTTCCCCCTTCTGACCTTCTGTTGATTGCTTGTCAAACCAGCATATGTAACAATCATGATGGTTCATGATTTATTTGTTTATTTTTGCTTATTTTCCTATCTGTTTCTCACCTTCTCTTGACTAATTTCAGATTTGATCGGGACTGGAAAAAGATTGAAGCATTTGTTGGTTCAAAAACAGTTATCCAGGTAATTTATTATTCAAGTCAAAAGGAAACAAAGAACAAGTTACTAACAGATGTTAAATGATTTTGGTTTCTTTTTAAAACATTGAAACATGACAATAATAATTTTTTTCTTGATTTCCCAAAGACTGTCAATTGAAGTCCCTGACCGGAGTTTGAATCTTCACATAGTTTTTTTATGCTCTTTCTATATTTGCTCTTACTAGCAATCCATTTTAATTTTTTGTTCATCAAATATTTTTGTTTAGATTTTGTTGCATCATAGTGGAATGCAATTTTTTCTGTTTTTCTTGAGAAACCTAAGGGTTGATATTGATGATGGGTTTAAAGACATAAACCTGTAATTTGTTACTTTGTTGCATTTTTAATCAAGTAGAAAAGAAAGGACATAAAGTTATAAAATCTTGTTGGATTATATATTGCATATAGTGTTTATTTCATCAATTTTCTAGTGGTGAATCTTTGACATTCATTTCATGTTCCTCCAACTATTCTTTTTTCACTGTTCTATGTAAAATTCTATTTGGCAGATACGGAGTCATGCACAGAAGTATTTTCTTAAAGTTCAGAAGAATGGAACAAGTGAACATGTACCTCCTCCTCGGCCAAAGAGAAAAGCTGCTCATCCATACCCTCAAAAAGCTCCTAAAATCGGTTAGTATGGCCAATAGCAACCCCTTTTGATGTTCCCTTCAGTGGTTGTTGTCTATTATATCAAGTTTTGAATAACACTGGTTTTTGTTTTTGCATTTTATCAGCTGCTACTGCATCCCAACTTACAGGCTCATTGCAATCTCCATCTGCTTTCGTTGAACCTACATACATTTATAGCTCAGATTCCTCATCTGTGCTTGGAAACCCAGTTACTAGCATGCCTTTGTCATCTTGGAATTATAATGCTACACCACCACCAGTCAATGTGCCACAACCACAAGTGATTAGAGGTTTTTCAGTTTGTTCTACACTTTTTCCTTATTCAAATATGTACCTTTTACAGTCTATTTTGTGATGAATTTGAAAAATGAGGAGAGTTCTGCTAACTTTGAAAATTTTGGTTTGTTAGATGGAATGGGATTGACTGGAGCTGGACAAGCTGTTCCTCATAATTGTTGCTATAGCAGTAGTAATGAAAGCACCCCTCCAACTTGGCCAAGTAGCAAAACGATTAATCAGGGTGACCAGGGCAAGCCATTTAAAGGTTGGGAATGCTTTTCAATCCCTTAATTTGAACTTAATTCTGCTTGAAATTAACATAATGGCATAATCACAAATATTAAGTTGGATGTTATAATAGACATTAGACATAGAGAACGTAGTTTATAATACCTGTTGAGTTTTGGCTCAGCTAAAATCAGAAAAAGAAGCCCTAAAACTCGTAGTTCCATTCAAGAGTCATGACCATCTTTCTGAGATGATTTTGGTTTAAGCATTGCCTGATTGTAACCTTTCTTGTTCAGTTATTTGTGTAGTCGTAGAATGCTATGTAGGAATCAGCTAGTAAAAGATAAAGCTTTTCATTCATTAGGATATAGAAGGAAATAGGAATAACTGTAAGAATAATTCATGCATCAGCTTCTTATTCATTAGACTAGGCTTATTTCACACAAACACTAGAATACCATCACCAAACCCCAGCTATGCTATGTTATCCTTTGATAAAGAAGTTGCCCTGATATTGAAGTTACAGTCTTAGCTTTTGTATACTACTAGGGAGAGTAGTGGAGAAGAGGGGGGTTGGAGTTTTAATTTTTGTGTTATTTTTAATTTTATTGTGAAGCTTTACATAGTAAGCTGGACTTAGTGCCTTAAAAGTATAGTGATTAATTACATTGGACTGGAATGAAATCTGAATTGCCTAAAATATAAACTGAGATATTAAAGAGTTCAATTAAATGTATGTCTAAGATCAAGAAGAAAATTTAATGCTGAACTACAAGTTTTTTCAGTTTTGAAAAGGTTCAATGGAAGAAAAAGAATGCTAAAAATAACACATTTCATAAAGTCTCCAACTCTCCATTTGTTTATATACAATCGTTTTCAAGAAGCACAAGCAGAGCCAGTCAGCCATAGATCCTTAGAAACAGTTCAAAAGAATGAAGGAAACTAAATTATATTCAGAACTCTAGAGCTGCTTGTTGAGTAGCAGCCAAATTAAATTGTGAGCTGGTACCACTGCTAGGCCTACTGTGCTACATAAAATGTAATACAGTTGGCTTATGGTTGACTACCAGAAGTGGGACTGGACCCTTAATTCAACACAGGCATTTTCATGTATTACTGGGGCTTCAAGAAACAATTAGGTCTGGGCTAGAGATATTTAATCCAAACATATGGATCTTATAAAACGAAATTTAAAATACACTTTGTTCTCCTTTCTGGAGTGAACAGTGCATATAACATTGAAGCTATAGTAGTTGGTTGTATTCATTTACATGATTGTTTAACTTGTGCGGTCTTATTTGTGTATAGATAGATACGTTTGAGTGGTATTAATTTTATTAAGTTTGTTATGCTATATGTCATGATGTTGCAGATTTGCAATTGTTGAGCTTCTGTTTAGTTCTTATTTTCATGATTCTTGCCATGCTCTTGTTGACTAGTTTGATTTGTCTGTGCAGTAATGCCAGATTTTGCTCAAGTCTACAGCTTCCTTGGCAGTGTATTTGATCCAAATTCAACTAATCACCTACATAAACTAAGACAGATGGACCCAATAAATGTGGAAACGGTAATTAATATCAAGTCCATCATTTTCTTTGCCTCTATCATTCTTTTTTCTTTTTGGAATTTGTAAATGTCAAAGGTTTGAAAAAGGAGTCTGCTTTTTGGGGTTTAAGTTCTTAGCTTGTATGCCTGAGTAATTTATATTGTTCTGTTTTTGCAGGTATTATTGTTGATGAGAAATCTCTCCATCAATTTAATGAGTCCTGAATTTGAGGATCATGTAAGTTTATTTCCAATAGGCGGCACTTTTGTTATTTTTCCCACAGACTTAGTGATGGTGTACATTTAGTTATATGCCAAAGTCATCTTTTAATCCTTGTTCCTTACTTTTATTCTGTAACATGACAAAAGATATGAGATGGTATTAAATTGCTTTCAAATTGATTGATTATTTTGAAGCTAGTAAACAAATTGATTTTGCGATGTTGATATTTGTTGCTTGAAGCCTCATCAAGCCCCTAGGTCTGGCAAAATAGAATTTTCGATCTACAATTGCACCTACGTTTGATACTGTTAGCGATTTTCAAAATTGAACTTATTTTCTATATGGGATTTCTTACTTGGGTACTATACTTTGCAATGAGTTTCTCAATTAATAAATATTGTTTCCACATCTTGTTGTTCGTATGTACCTGCTTGTAATTTAGTGTTTGTGCCATTATTTAAATATGTTAATAATAAAATTAAAATAGACCCTTGTTGATTCCTATTTTTGAAGTAAATTTTATTCGTATGCAACATCAATACTCAGTGATGTTCAGAACTCATTGGAGATGACTATTTTCACACACACAAGTGTAATAAAGTTAGTTGGCCATGAAGCGTAGGATGCATTATTTTATTTTATTTTGAATTGCATGCGTAGCTCTTCAGCTGCATTCTATTCTTATTCTGCTAAATGACAGATCTATCCTCAAATTTAGTGTATTGTATGATCCATGCTGTGGCTGTAAGTGTTCTCTTATTATTCTGTTTGACAAAATCCTAGCATCATTTATTTTATTTTAATTTTCATAACAAGGACTGCATCATAGTGTACTGACCCATTATTTTCTTGCCAAACCTTAAATGCAGAAGAAGCTGCTTTCATCATATGACACCGACTCTGAGAAGTCAAAGTTTGTTAATATTTGCAGCACAAATAAATCTGAGAGTGCCGTTCTCTCTGCTTAGGATGTTGCCACGCCGAAGAGTGTTTTCAATATATTTTCTGAATGCACATGAAGTGGGAGCAAGAAGGGGAAAAGACAAAAAGTTTTTGCTAAAAGGAAGTGTAGTGTCTAGATGCATGCTGTATATAAATATAAATATATGTATACCTTTTGGATTGAGTTTTTGTTTGTTTTAGGCACTGTTAGTCTCGTAGATATGCTGGTGTTTTGATTTGTGTATATCTTTTGAAGATGATTATCCTTGGAATGCAGGACAATGAGAGTTCTGCTAGGTCACTTCTGGAGGCTATACTGTACAGCCTGTTGAGTGCTTTTGTGTGTTATGCTGTTTAAGCTTAGAATTAGTACATGAGCGGTGTTAGGATTTAGGGGTGCCGTTTGCCTTGTATATAAAGCAATAAAACACTGTAGATAAGTTTCTCCTTTTCATGCCTGTACATTATAATAATTATTATTATAAACCCTATTTGCTACCTGGTCTCAACTATATGTATATTTTTCTGTAATTATAGAGCTGTTTGGTTTGAATTTATTTTCAACGAGTTAAATACAAACTAAGTACATAAATCAATTAAATACATGATTGGTGAGAATAACGATATTTGGTAATTCAAATATTTTAAATATTTCATTGACATCTTATTTTCCTTTTATCACATGGTTAGTACAGGTCAATTTCTTAAATATCTTTAATTTCTTAAATCAATTTTTTTATATATGTCATTATATTTATTATTTTCTTTTTACATATTTTTTTTCTTCTTCCGGGTATAGATAGGTATATGAATATACGAGAAACATTTTTCTTTCTTTAAGTCCTTCCTTTTCTTTATTTTTATTATTTGACTTTTAACCAAGCTAAAGATATAGGACAAAAAATTTTACACCAAGGTATACCGAACTCCAATAGACCAATCACGGGGAAATATGTTTACCAAAAAATATATTGGAGAACTATACACGATCTTATGTAATAATAAAAAAAATGTTAGAAATACACTTCTTTGAACATATATATTTTTTTAATTAGTTGAAATTTATTGAAAAATAAAATTTGTGGATTTCACATCCTATTAAATCACTCTCTTTTTCTTAAATTTGTGATTTTTCAATAAATTCTAACTAATAAGAAAAATGCATTAATATGAGTTTGTTAAAAATTCTATTAGTAACAATCTTTGTAATAGAATTCACATCTATTTCATTCTTATAAATTTAGAACAACCTGTACATTTCATACTTGATTTCTTTGAAACTTCTTCATAAATATACTTGAGCCTAAATTATATTTTTAAAATTATAGAAATTAAAAATAATAATTTTAAATTTGAGAAGTAAAAATAAATTTATCATAAATTTGAAGACTAAACACATATTTATATTTTAATCATATTTTTATGTGAAGTACGATTTTCTCATAATATCTCTCTTATTAGCTGAGGCAATTAATAACGGTATGTTTCTTAGTTTCTTACTAATAATAAAAATAAAATAAAATAAACATGCGTCAAACGATATTTTGTTTGATTTGTGTGGCTTTTAACCGTCAAAGTTAAATGATATAGTATCGGGCTGTCTCCCTTATATGTAGTAAGTTAAATTTAATATTTTAATAATGCAAAATGCTAATGACATACTTTCTTATTATTAATTCATTCTATATGAGAAATCAACTTACTCTTTAAAACTGACCTGTTTACAAGGCAAGTTTGGCTTTTCAATTTTACAAAATAAGCAATACGTATATAGAAAATGTTTATAAAATAGGATAAAATGTATATCAAATTTCTAACATCTTTGTTCTCTGACATCATATCACGCATGCAAAAGTTCAAATATAATAATTTTTTAAAAAATGAGTAACTAATCAAGAAATTAATAAAAAGTATAATTTAAAATAAATAAATGATTGATACTTTTTTATCTTAATAATTTAATCTTAATGTAATATATAAGAAACTTAGGAAAAAAAACTAATAAAAATAAAATTACAATCAAGATATTTATTTATAAAAATGATAAAATTTAAGGATAAATCATAATAAAATTAAAATTTATGGTATTTATTTACTAATAAAACAAAATTTAAAGATCAAATGAAATAAATTTAAAATTGATGATATCTATTTATAAAAAAGGTAAAGTTTAAGATAATTAAATATTTTTATTTTAAAATAACATTTTTTTAGTAAAAATTACATCTAACATACATAAATTAATTTTTTATTTTTAATTTTGAAATAGTGCATTAACGATATTTATTAAAAAAAAACACACACACTCATGACTTTTCAGATAATCATTTTGTACGGAAATTACCTAACTCAATGTCTCCACATGATTTCTTTTCCGTCTCCTTTTTTCTTCCTTTTTTTTATTCAATTTTTAACCAATAAAAAGAATTCATATTTGGTACTTTAATTTCATATAGAAAGTTCTTCATAAACATATGTATAGCATTCCTCCTTTTTTTATCATACAATGAAAGTAAACGCTCAACAAACGATTACCAAATGAGAACTCACAAAGAAGGGACAGACGTTGAATCTAGTGAGTTTACAATAAGAAGTACTCCCAGGCTCACAATTTGGACTAAGAAATTAAAAAAAAAAATACAACAACAGATGCTGAAATACAAAAAAGAACAAGTACAATTTTGAAGCACGTGACTAAACTAAAGATCTATTTAATAAAATTTTCCACAAATATTTCAAGAAGAGAAAAATAGGAAAGAAATCTTATTTTGCTTTATATAAAAACTAGTTTTAACTTAAAAAGAAGTTTATTTTGATTTTTATTTCTATTTTCCTCTTCCAGAAGTGCTTACCGAGAAATTCATCCATGGCTTAAGCCCACAGGTGTGAACTGAAACCATTAGTCCAAATCCATTGAAGTGGATGGCAACCTCATATGTTGGCGTTGCAGTTGCACCCTTATCTTCCTAAAAAGGCTTGTGGTGATGGTGAGAAGATGAGTGATGAACCATAACGTGTACAGAATGAAGCCAAACGATTCCCAAGTGTGGGGTAGCAACAACACTAGCAAGGAAATGAAGGAGAGTGAAGCAAAGACGTGCATGAGGGTGTCAAAGTGGTGAGCCCTTGTACCAAACTTGAGCCTGCCCAAGAAGCCCAAGCAGTAAAGGAGAAACCTTGCAATGGAGATTGGAGACCATCACGGTCTTTGGATGGAGTTGAAATGGGGTGGGATTTTCTGGGTATTTTATTTGGATAAAAGCCAGAAGTACAAAGAAGATGAAAGAAAGAAGGGCGTGCTGAGGATCGGTTTCTGCTGCCATGTTACGTGCTTGGATATAGAGTATATTTAAGGTGACGTGTGTACCCCTGAAAGCACGTTCAAAATAAGCGGGTCTTGGCCTCACAAAATCAGCCATGGTGGAGTTGAAGCTCTTTGGTGCTTTTGAGGATAGAAAAGAGAGTGTTGGAAGAATAAGGGAATGGGGTGTGGAAGGTATATATAGCTAGATCCTGTGTATCACAGAGGAGAGACACACGATGGTCCATCCTGTATGCGGGCGGGCAGCTGCTATTAGTCAACATCAACATATTAAAGGCGAGGGGGGAGAAGATACTTGCACCATGAATAGGCATGTTAAGGTGCCTTTAGCTAAATTATATGAAGGACCACTTTGACAAGTGGTGTATGAGTGTACCAAATTACCACTAGATGCATCTAAGTCCACTAGTTACAATACACTTTATCACACAAGATCTAAATTTCTGAATTTTTTATTAAATTATTTTTAAAAAAAATAACCTAAAAATTCGAACTGTCACACGTTAGTGTTCATCATCAGAATGGACCGTTCTAAAATTCGAACGGGCCGTTTTTGATGAAAAAAATAACACATACAAATAGACCAGAACGGCCCGTTCCATATTAAAAAAAAAAGATATGAGAAGTTGAATCAGAATGAACTGTTCTATATTCGGAACGGGTCGTTCCAGATGAAAAAATAACATAACGAATAAACCAGAACGACCCGTTCCAGTTTCAAATAACCAGTTAAACCAGAACGAGCCGTTCTGAATTCGGAACGACCCGTTCTAACTACATATTTGTCGTACAAACTTTTTTTTAAGCAAAATAATATTTTTTTTTCATTCTACTAAATTACATTTAAAATTTAAGTATAGTATTTCAATTCATAATGTTTTTTTATTAGAATTAGAGGTTTATATTAATTATATGCGTAAATTTCTAATTCTAATTAGAAAATAACACCAAACAAATTTTTTTACTATAAATATAATATTCTCTGATTTAAATCATTGCAAAAATTTGTTAGTTTTAGTTTTACATCTCGACATTTTCTTCTTAAAAAAATTATGTTAACAACTATTATTGGGTCTAGTTTTGGGCTTCATGGGCCTTTGGGCTTTTGACAACTTTTGAGCTTAGTGAGCCCAATGGGTTTAGTGGGCCTAGGGTTCTCAATACTTTGGCTTTACATGGATGACCACCTTTCTTATATTTTTGGTAGTATAGGAATTTATATTGTTTGGTCTTGTATTGTGGGCCTTAGTATAAAACTTTTTGGGTTTTAAGCTTATTTGGCCTAGTTTTGGACTTCATGGGCTTTTGGGCTTTTGATTGCTTCCAAGCTCAGTGAGCCCAATAGGTTTGGTGGGCCTAGGATTCTCTTTACTTGGGCTTTACATGGATGTTTATCTTTCTCATATATTTGGTAGTATAGGAGTTTATATTGTTTGGTCTTGTATTGTGGGCCTTAGTATAAGACATTTTGGGTTTTAAGTTTATTGGACCTAGTTTTGGGCTTCATGCGCCTTTAGGATTTTGATTGCTTCAATGGTTAGTGAGCCTAATGGGTTTGGTGGGCCTAGGATTCTCTTTACTTGGGCTTTACATGGATGTTTATCTTTCTCATATATTTGGTAGTATAGGAGTTTATATTGTTTGGTCTTATATTATGGGCCTTAATATAAGACTTTTTGGGTTTTAAGCTTATTGGGCCTAATTTTGGACTTCATAGGCCTTTGGGCTTTTGGCTGCTTCTAAGCTTAGTGAGCCCAATGGGTTTGGTGGGCCTAAGGTTCTCTTTACTTGGGTTTTAAATGGATGACCACCTTTCTCATATATTTGGTAGTATAGCAGTTTATATTGTTTGGTCTTGTATTATGAGCCTTAATATAAGACTTTTTGGGTTTTAAGCTTATTGGGCCTAATTTTGGATTTCATGGGCCTTTGGGCTTTTGACTACTTCTGAGCTTAGTGAGCCTAATGGGTTTGGTGGGCCTAGGGTCCTCTTTACTTGGGCTTTACATGGATGATCACCTTTCTCATATATTTGGTAGTATAAGAGTTTATATTGTTTGGTCTTGTATTATGGGTCTTAGTATAAGACTTTTTGGGTTTTAAGTTTATTGGGCCTAGTTTTGGGCTTCATGGACTTTTGGGCTTTTGACAGCTTCTGAGCTTAATGAGCCCAATG